AAGGCAGTCGCTTAACCAACTGAGCCACCCAGGCGCCCCCGTCTTCTCTTCTTATAAGGTCCCCAGTCATTGGATTAGGGCCCTCCCTACTTCAGCAAGGCCGCATCTCAACCTGATCTCTGCAGGGACCCCATTTCCAAATAAGGTCACATTCATAGGAACTAGCGGTTATGGCTTCAACATAATTTTTAGGGATAAACAGTTTAACCTCTAATGGAGCGGGAAGGTAATGAGAGCCGGGGTTGATGGAGGGCTTACTGCATACCAGGCAAGCTCTCCATACACAGGAGCTCAGTGAATCTGCTCAGCCATCCATTCACACCAAGGGAAGGTCAAAGCCCGTAGTGGGACTTCTGAGCCCTCAGGATCCCGGGATCCACACCCTCAGTTCTCTGACCCCATCTTCTAGCCCCTGCTTATTTCACTCCTTGCTAGTCTTCAAACACATCAGGCTGGCTCCTGCCTCAGGACCTTTGCACAGGCTGTTCCCCTGTACATCTGCTTGCCTTAATCCCTCGCCACCTTCAGATATTTTTCAAACGTCGTCTTCTCAGTGAGGCCTTCCCCTCCCACCCTATTTATTGGTACCCCCACACCCCTTGGGCTCCCCCCATCCCTGTTCCTGGCTTGGTTGCTCTAACACATAATGTGACTTTACTTACTCGGTACCTCCATTTCTCATTACCTGTCTTCTGCCCACCCCACACTAGAATGTACACTCCACAAGGACAGGGATGATTTTTGCCTGTTTGCAGAGTGGAGTATAGTAGGTATTCAATTAAACATCTGTTGAATGAATTCATGAATCTATGAGGTAGGGGTTAGTAACTGTCCCCATTCTGCAGGGGAGGAATGGAAGCTCAGAGAGGTTGAGTCACTTGTCCCAGGCCACAGAGCCATTGAACGATGAGATCAGGACCTGAATCCAGGCAGTATGACTCCAGAGGCACCCTCTGACCCTTGTGTAGAATGCAGAGATCAGGACCTCTGGGGGAATCCCTTGTCACTTGGATCATCTCCTGGCCTCAAACTTTTCCATCCTTGGCCTTCAGCCCCCTGAGGGCTGAGTGGGAACCTGGATCAGCCAGGGGGACTGACTTTACAGACTGCTCTGAGGAAGGGCTTATTGGGGACATGATGGGTAAATGATGGGTGGGTAAAGGATGACCCAGTTCCTGGCCCTGAGAGGTCTGGTGTGGTCACCTGCAGCCAGGGAGATGTCTCACTTCCACACTGCTGCCCACGGTTGGCTGTCCCAGCCCCTTGGGGGGCATTTTCTTAGTGTCCCTTTCCAACATTCTTGGTGTCCCTGACAGTCTGAAACATCCCCAGGCATGGAGACTGGGGGGCCCCTTCAATGTGTGTCCCCTCCTCCTCGGGCCCCACGCACAGCAGGTGTATGTGGTTGAACACTGCTCAGGGAAGGAAAGAGAACATTTCCTGGGATGTGTATGCCCGATGGGCAGGTGTTCGCAGATGTGTTATCTCTGTTCACCTTGGCAACGTCACTCAAGGTGGGCAGGCTGTGCCCTCTTTATTGATGAGGAAATCGAGTCTTAGACCACCACCCGCCCCGATGGGCCCAAATGGCAGGTGATGGTGCTGGGCCAGGTGTAACAGTCCGGAGCTGTGAGCTGTACCCCTCCTCCCCGCCCCCCCCCACCCCAGGGAACCTGGCCTCTGACACAGGCTAGGCTTCACCTCTTTACCCTGGAGAACTATTTCCTACTGTAGCAAGGGGGATTTAAGTCCAAAAATAAGAACAAAGCTCCTAGAATCACCTTTCCTGGAGGGTTTTTACCTGTCTGCCACGTGGAGGTGTGGTCGGCTGGGCGGCAGGGCCCTGGAGGTTCCCCGGTGGGCGGGATGGGTGGTGAACCTCCAGCCTGGGCCAGGTGGGCTGCAGGTCAGTATCATTTGATACTGTTCGGATGTTTGATAAACCTGGAGAGAAGTATTCATTCATCCGTTTCCTCACTCCCTGCGGTGTGTCCGGAGCTGTGCCAAGTGCTGGGAACACAGCAGGGAACAGACTAAAGGCCCTGCCCTCACGGGGCTGACCGTCCCCAGGGAGGGAGAAGGAAGGGTCGGGAGGTACTTGAGGTGGGCACTCAGAGGTGTCACCTCAGCAGCAACCCTGGGAAGAGGAGGTGGCCAGGCCAGGATCATCGAGGGGGACGGCGCCGCCTGACCACTGAAGTCCCAGGGGCTCAGAGAAGGGAACGCCTTGCCTGGCATTGATCCCACATGCACAGGGAGGTGAACCGAGTCCCCAGCAGCCTCTGCCCTTCTCTGCCCCTAGAGACCCAGACCCGGGCCAGCGTGGCCCTCCACGGAGGGGATGGTGGCGTCAGCATGGACGTGGCAGGCCTGGTGTCCTGGCCGACAAACGGCTCCCTGGAGCTGGTGGTGAACGCCAGCCACACGGCCCCTGCTCTCCAGAGGCTGGGCCTGCCCTTGACCAGCCAGGTGAGGAGTGGGTGGGCCCCCCAGGCCAGGCTGGGCTCCCCGCTAATTCCGTCCACTCCATCCAGTTCCCCAGCATGCCGGGGACCTACTATGCATGACGGACAGATGCTCTTGCGCTGTGTCTCTCGGGCACTTTACAGTTTGTAGAGGCTGTTGGTGATGCTAACAGCTGTCCGCAGCGTCTGCCGAGCCATCTCTGTAGTCCCGGCCGCGGGCTGTGGGCACGGCCCGGGTTCCAGCTCCCCGCCCTGCGTGCTCGCTGCCCTCCTGCTCATCCACTCGGGCCAAAGCCCAGCCTTAGTTGGTGGAGCCCCTGCTCCGTGCTCAGTGCCGACCTGGGGGCTTTCTGTGCCCTGATTCAGTTCCTCCTCCTAGCACCCCGCGAGGGGCAGGCGGCCTAGCTCTTACGAATCCCAGCTCTGGACGCCAGATCCCAGCTCTGACTCTGTCTGTGGGGCCTCAGGCAGATTCCTTAGCCTCTCCGCGTCCTCAGTCTGCTCACGAAATGGGGCTGATAACTGTCCCGATAATACGGGGTTTGGGAGGATGGAGAGCGTTCACACTGTGAACACACTCGGGGTGGTGCCTGGTGAAGCAGATGCTTTTTCACCGTCTGCGGGTCACACGCGAGCGTGCGTGTCACCGGCCCAAGGTCACGTAGCAAGGAGGCAGCAAAAGGGACTCAGGCTGGTACCCAGGCCCTTTCCCATGATGCCCTCCCACCTCCGAGAAGGGCAATCTGCTGTGGCCCCCTGAATGGGGCCAGGCCCTGGTCACTGTCACTTGGTGCAAGGTCGCCTAGTCAGGACACCTTCTGGAAGCTTTATTCACAACCTCTTGTTTCGGGTTACCAGCACTGCCCTGCCCACACTCCACTGTGCCGTGAGGAGAGGCCATTCCCAGAGGCCCAGTCACCCCTCATGCAGCGAGTCCTTGTCACTGTCCCCACGACCCAGCAGGCCCGTTTCCCGCTCTCCCTGACCTCCTCTAAACCCCCTTTTCCTAGCCTCGGTCCGGTGGTGGGGAGATGTGGGGGAGCTCATTCTTTGCTGATGTCTGGGGTGCGGGTCTGGTGGGGTGCGGGTCTGGTGGGGTGCAATCCGGGCTGCCGGGGAGAAGCTGCAGAGTGAGGCCTGGGAGGGTCCCTGGGCCCCTTCACTCCCCACACCTCACAGCCTGCTCCTTCCTCAGCTCGTGTTCCAGAAGCTGTGGGCAGAGGAACAGATGAGCTCTTCCCTACGGCTCACCTGTGATTCTCAAGCCAGCCTGGTCCTTGACATGCGTGGCCAGAGCCAGGCGCTCCGGTGAGGGGTTCTCTGTAGCTCTGGGGGGCCCCTCCCCCCGAGAAGAGAGGGGTGGGTGAGGGAGACATCAGCGGAGCCCCTGCTGTGCACTGACCTCCAACCCCCAGCCCCCCCCCAGACCCCCCTACAGCCCCACTGCACGGATGTGGGAAGGAAGGTGCAGCGAAACAAAGTAACTTGCCCAAGGTCACACAGCTAATGAAGTAACCTTGACCTTTGGGGGCAGGACCTGGACGAGCAGTTCTTGGTCTGGCAAACGAAATGTATCCTAGGCCTCAAATACAAATTAATAAATGGTACAACCCAGGCCTCAGGCCCTCTCTCTCCTTCCAGCAAAGAGCTGCAGGTCTCCGGCCGGCACCGCCTCCCCATCCTCCTGGGCCACTGCCCCAGCAGAGCCTCAGCCTCAGCCAAGGTAACTGTGCCCGGCCGCCCCTGAGCCCTAACTGGTTCCAGATGCCCTGCCCGAGGCGGGCGGGGGCCATGCAGGCCGGGCCCCGCCGGGGAGTGCTCACACATTCCCGTCTGTGCGCAGGCCACGCTGGGCTGCCCTCGGAAACCCCTGGCTCCGGCTTTCTCAAATATCCCCAGGCTTACATTCCTGGGCCAGGCCCGCAGCCCCCAGCTGGGCCCACAAGACCCCGGAGGCGGGGGAGGCCGGCCCGCCCCGTGCCTGGCGCCTGGCGCCGCCTCACCCGGCCTGGCATGCTCCCAGCAGCCAGATCACATGGCACAGCCCTTTGAGCTGAACCAGCGCCGCCTCCCAGGTGCCCCAGCTTCTGCCCATGGCCCAGGGTCTCTGCATGTCTTCCCACCCTTGTCCGCGAATCCTCTCCCCCCCAGAACCCCCAGGACAGCCCCCAGTCATGCATCTGGCCTACATGTAGCATTTGGGGGTCCTGGGTGGGGGGTAGATGGCAGGCCCAGGCTGGCGCTGCCCCCCTTCCTCCATTACCATGACCTGTTTCCCTGTCTGCCCCTCTTCCCCAAATCAGGAATGCCCAGCACCCGGCCCAGGGCCCAGCACATAGTAGGTGCTCAGTGAAAGATGTTGACTAATGAATGAGTGACTGATTGTTCCATTTGCCAACTAGTTGCTTGGTTATCCCACTAGCCACGCAGTTTTGTTAACTGCCCTCCCTGCCCAGGCCTGGACTGCCTTTGTTCACAGAGCACCTACTGTGTGCCAGGCCCCGCCCTAGCACGTGCCCACACCATTCTAGTGTTCCCCAAGCTTTGCTGCCAACTGCACATTCAGGGACCTCTTCGTTTCCCCCCAATCTTTATTTTGAATAGTTTCCAACCTATAGAAAAGTTATTTTAGGACAGTGAACATTCCCCAGTTGTTAATAACCTGCCACAACTTTCTCCCCATACTTAAGTGTCATATATATTTCTATATTCACGAATGTGCACAGGTACATTTCCTTTATCATTAAGAGATGATATGGACAGGTTTCTGGACACATACCTCTTTACTCCAAAATACTTCAGTGAGGGGCACCTGGGTGGCTCAGTTGGTTAAGCGACTTCCTTCGGCTCAGGTCATGATCCTGGAGTCCCGGGATCGAGCCCCGCATCGGGCTCCCTGCTCGGCGGGGAGTCTGCTTCTCCCTCTGACCATCCCCCCTCTCGTGTTCTCTCTCTCATTCTCTCTCTCTCTCTCAAATAAATAAGTGAAATCTTAAAAAAAAAAAAAATACTTCAGCGAGTGGTTCTGATGACAAGGCTATTTTCTTATACAACGCAGCATAATTTCAGAATTCAGGAAATTTAACATGATGTAGTCATACTGTTATTTAATATATGGTCCATAATAAAATTTCCCAGTTGCCCCAATAATGTTCTTTCAAGCTGAATTTTTTGTTTGTTTTCAGTTTGTTTTAAACCCAGGACACACTCCAGGATCACCCAGAGTACTTAGTTGCCCTATATCTTAAGTGACTTAATCTAGAACAGAGGTCTGCGAACTTGTACTATAAAGAGCCAGATGGTAAATATTTTAGCCTTGAAACCCAAGACGATCTCTGTTGTAACTGCTCAGTGTTGCCACTGTAACAAAAAAGCAGCCGTAGCCAGTGTGTAACTAAATGGGCATGGCTGTGTTACAATAAAACTTTATTTACAAAAGCAAGTGGTGGGCCGAATTTGGGCTAAAGCAGACCCTTGATTTAGAAATTCTTCTCCCACACTGTACGTGTTTTCCCCCCAATATTTCATTATTAAACTTTTTAGACCCTGGAAAATTAAAACAATTTTATAGTGAACATCCACATACCCACTGCCTCGGTTTTCTCACTCCTATTCCACTCCACTTGCTTTATCAGATAGCTCTCCATTCATCTGTATTTTTGACGCATTTCAAAGTAAGTTGCAGATGTTGATATGCTTTCCCCTAAGCATCTCATTGTCTTTAACCACCTTTTTTAAAAAAGATTTATTTATTTATTTGAGAGAGAGAGAGAGTGTGTGTGTGTGTGTGCGCGCGTGCAGGGAGGAGGGACAGAGGGAGAGGGAGAATCTCAAGCAGACTTCACGCTGAGTACAGAGCCTGATATGGGACTTGATCTCACAACTCAGATCACGAACCTGAGATCATGACCTGAGCCAAAATCAAGAGTCAGACACTTAACCGACTCTGCTACCCAGGTGTCCCCATCCTTAATCACCTTTAAGAAAAAGTCATATATTGACAATTTTGAAATGTCCAGGCAATTATTTTGCAAAAATCCTCCATTTGGATTTGTCAGACACCGTTCAAGATTCAGGTTGAATGTTTTGACTGAGGTCAAACTAATCTGCGGAGTTCTTTAAAAATATCAGTTTCAGGGGCGCCTGGGTGGCTCAGTCGTTAAGCGTCTGCCTTCGGCTCAGGTTGTGATCCCAGGGTCCTGGGATCGAGCCCCACAACAGGCTCCCTGCTCCACAGGAAGCCTGCTTCTCCCTCTCCTACTCCCCCTGCTTGTGTTCCCTCTCTCGCTATGTCTCTCTCTCTGTCAAATAAATAAATAAAATCTTAAAAAAAAAAAATCAGTTTCTCCATCCTGTTCCCAGAGGTTCTGTTTTTACAAGCCGTAGTAGATAGGGACCCAGAATCTTTATGTGTAGCTAGTGTCCTAAGTGATTCTGTCACATAGCCAGTCGGGAAGATAGCACATTATTTCATAAAATTTTCACATCAACACATTAATAAAGTGTCATCATCCCAATTTATCAGGTTGGAAAGCAGAGACTTAGGTGGTTGAGGAGCTAGCCAGAGGTCATCCACCCCATGTGACAAGAGAGCCAAATGGGCATCTGTTTGATGGCCCAACCTGTACTTTGTTCCTTGCGCTAGACTGCCCCCTGCTGTCCACTATGGTAATGCAACTGGAATTCTTGCCTGATGGCCCCAGGCCATTAGCAGTCTTCAAGTCAGTGTGACAGCATGAAGGACAAGGGGAGGTGGCTGTCATGGGCACCGCTGATGGCTTAAATCGAGGCTCAGGACCCTCGTTTCACCAGATTTCAAACTGTCCAGGAAGCCTGTGGGTGTCTGGGGCCAGAGCCTACAGCCTGGAGCCAGGATCTATTGGAATATTCCATCAGAGACCAAGGAGAAAATCTCTCACCTGCTTTTCTTCTGACCCAGCTACAGTACTCGGAGCATGAGGCCGAGAGCATGATTTTCTTGGCGGTGGAGGAGCATCATTTCCACGTGGGCACCAGCCTGGTGACTGCGAAGGCTAAGGTCACCAACATCATCAGGCTGGAACAGACCTTCCCCCAGGTGCGTGGAGGGTGGCCAGGGCGGGCTGTGGGTGGGGGTGGGGGTGCGGTGGTTCCAGGAGAAAAGAGGGATTTGTGAGGGGCTGTGAAGTGGGTGAAGTATGCTGGAATGGATTCTCAGCTGCTCTCAGTGTCCCTCCCTCCCTCCTCCCCCCACATTATTTGTTCAGCCCCTACTAGGGCCCAGGGCAGGCACCACTCAAGAAGCTGAGGATATTGCCTGGGACAGGACTGGTGGGTCCTTCCTCTCATCTGGTGGGGAGAAAATCACACAGATAAATAAGAGAACATTCCTAGATGGATACATTCTAGAGAGAAAAGAAAATGGGGTCATAGGAGTGGGTGTGTGGTTGGGGAGCTCTTTAGGTGGCCAGGAAGGCCTCACAAAAAAGGTGACATCTGAGCTAGCCGCGGATGACAGGCAAGTGTTGGCCATTTGAAAATCTGGTGAAAGGGCATTGCCGGCTGAGGGAACAACATGTGCAAAGGGCCTGGGGCAGGAACGAGTTGGCCCGTTTGAGGCATGGCCGCTGGGCTAGAGTAGAGCGGGTGAGTAGGAGATCATGGGGGTCCGATCATAGGGCAGGACAAGCCACAGGGAGGAGTTTGGATTTCGTTCTCTGAAATTGGAAGCCTTTTGAGGACGCGATCCAAATGATGATTTCGGATCCCTCCAGCTGCTATATGGGGAGCGACCTACAGGGGGCAGCAGAAACACCAGTGAGGAAGACCCTGGGCTTAGCAGGGCAAGAAACAATGGTGTCTTGCGTCAAGGTGGGGCAGTAAGACATTCAAGAGTAAACTCCCCCCTCCTCCCAGCAAGTCCCCCTGCAGGGCCCTTGAGCCACCTTCCAATGGGGGCACCCACCTAACGGGGAGAGTCTCCTTCTCTGAGCCTTTGCACAGGCCATTCCTTCTGCCTAGAATGCCCTTCCTTGCGTTGTCCACCAACTTCTTTCTCTGTGTTCCTTTGCCTCTTGAGTATCTTTCATGCTACATTTGTCCCCTTGTCCCATCATTTTTTGTCTCTGTGATGTCTCCCCATCCGCCGGGAGCCCCTGAAGAGCCACGACCAGTCTTGGTTATCTCTGTATCCCATCGCTCAGCCCTGGGTCTGGATCCTAATGCCTGCTCAGCACATGTTTGAGAAACCCTACTCCTGACCACAGCAGCTCCCACGAGGCACTGCCCACAGGTCAGCCCTGGGCAGACACACCCTCGCATTATCTCAGAGATTAGCGCTGTTCTTCTCATCCGCTCGTATAGACTTATAGACGGGGGAAACTGAGCTCAGAGAAGTTAGGAAACTGGCCCAAGGCCACACAGCTTGGAAGCGCAGCTGAGAGGTGGTGATCTTTTCACAGGGCCATACCTGTGCCCCACACCCCTCCCTCACATTGGGGAGCCTTTGGCTTTATGACTTCCCGATGAATCTGACAGCCCAGTAAACCGTTTATGCCCCACAGATGTTCCCTGTCTTTCCTCTTCTGAAAGTGCCTCTTCTTTCCTACCCCAAGCAGGAGTTAGGGCCAGGTTCCCCAGTGACCCAGAGCTGTCTTTCTCTTCCAGTTCAGCGTCCTTCCTAGGGAGCTGGTCCTGCAGACCTTGTACGAGAGAGCCCGTGGGACCCACACCCTGCACCAGACAGTTTTGTGGGATGACCAGGAGGCAGTCCTTAACGGGAGCCTCTCCGGGCCCTTCCGCAGGCCCGCTGGGAACCTCAGCCTCCAGGGTGAGTGTCCAAGAGGTCACTGGTGGGGGCGGCCTGTGGGCTCAGTGAACCATCTTTGAACAACTGCTTATCCCAGGCGCTGTTCCAGGCCCTGGGGATCCATCCGGAAGTAAGATGGCCCTAGGTCCCTGCCCTCAGGGGGAGAGGCAGTGAGCAGGGATGTGAACATGGAGAAAATCACATCAGTGTTTCTGAGAGTGGGAAGGGTTTGACTGAGGGTTCGGGGCTCCTTTAGGTGGGGTAGGAGAGGAAGGCGTGTCTGAGGAGGTAACGTCCATGCTGAGCCCTGAATGATGAGAAAGAACTGGCTGTGGCGGGGATCTGAGGAGGGGCATTGCAGGCAAAAAGAAAAGCAGGTGCAAAGGCCCTGAGGTGGGACAAGGCTGGGGTGGTAGAACCACAGCAGCGAGGCCACTGGCCGGAGTGCCCTGAAGGGGGGGTGAGGGGAGGAGACAGGTGGGAGGGCTGAGGGTCCCGGTCCCCCAGCCGGGAGTTAGGGCTATCCTGAGTGTGAGAATACAGGAAGTGTGTTAGATGGGGCAACCCCAAGCTGCCCCGGGGGTTTCAGAGCGGAGGCTGACGGTCGGCAGGGGCGGTGAGTGCCGTCCCCTAGCAGCCCCACAGATGGCACCCATGTCCCCTGAGGCCGTCCAGGAAACAGGTGGCCCTGGGAAGGGGCTGTGCCATCACAAGGACTGTCAGTTTCTGTGTGGCGAGTCCCCTTTACACAGAGCAGAGCCTGTCCTGCTGTCTGCCACGTGGGAGACACAGTGCAGACCCCGCTCCCGGGGGCACAGCTTGCTGGGTGGTCGGATGGCATCCCCCATACAAGGCAGAGGAGATGTGTGGCCCCTCAGCACACCAGGGCAGCGAGCCTGTGCATGCACGGGGTTCGTGGGGAGGCTGAGCAGCCTGAGGGCCCCGCTCTGTGGTTAAGGAGCGTGGGACTTGGGGGGTCAGAGGGTGGAAGGAATGAGGGTTACGGCACTGAGGGTGAGGTGCACAGAAGTGGGTCAGTGTTCCCTGGACCGATGACCCCGTGGCACCTCGAGACGCAGCTGGTGTCACCATCTCTGGGAGCAGCTCCCAGGAACCTGCGTAGGGACAAGTGGGGCCCCTTCCAGAGAGTTCTGAGGTCACCAAGGTGGCCCCTGTCTACCGGGGAGTCTCAGCTGGACTCCTGCCCAGGGGTCCGGGAAGACAGGACCAACTGGTGGCCTCAGGAGCTGGGGTCAGGCGAAGCACGAGGTCAGGGCAGCTGGACTCCACGTGGGGGACAAGAGAGGGGACCCTGGAGGCACGGAGCCTGTCCGCTGTGAGGCCTCAGCTGTGGGGATGGCCACTTGTGTCACAGTCCGGGACAAAGGGAGAGCGGAGGGCAGCAGAGTGTGGCCCGGGTGGGTGAGGGGCAGTCACCGGGGCACCGGGCACCCGCAGCGTGAGGGAGGTCACAGCGGTACGAGACGTTGGCTGGGAGGTGGAAGGGGCAGCTCTTGCTGTGTGACGAATGTCCGGGAACTCGGGCTGGCGGGCACGTGCTGCTGATGTCGGCTGGGCTGTCCGGCTCATTCCGGGGCCCGCCGGCGGCCAGCCTGGCTTCACTCCCTCGGTGGCTGGGCGGGGGTCCCCAGAGGGCGAGCGGGCGCGGAGGCCTCTTCAGGCCTGCGCTGGGATCCAGTGGCCTCACCCTCAGCACATTCTCTTAGCAAGTCCCAGGCCAGCCCAGGTTCAGGGGCCACGGGGATGGATTCCGCCTCTTGACGCAGGAGGCGCAGAGTCTCCTTGAGGAGGTGCGGAGTGGAGACTTGGGGCTCTCACGGGGACAGCGCGGGGACCGCGCTGAGTGGTGTGGTGGCCGAGTGAGGGCAGAGCTCCTGAATTTTGTGCAGATGACCCGAGCACGGGGCCACCTGCCCGAGCTGGCGGCTGTGTCCGCTGAGATCCATCCCCCTGAGCGCTCGTGCTCCCCTCACGTGCCCGCCCCTCCCTGTGCCCCCGCCCAACAGAGCTCAGCCACCCGCTGTCCCTGTCCCTGTCCCCACCGCCGCGCGGCAGCCTCCGCCTGTCCTGCGAGCACTCACCACGGGAACACCGGGACGACCTGGTCGTGGGCTGGGATGGCAAGGACCAGGTAGGTGTCAGGGCCGGAAGGAGACCCCGGGAACTCCACCGACCCTGGAGCCTGGGCGGGACAGTCGGGGCCCAGGCCTGCCCGAGCCCGAGGAGCCTCACCAGGGCCGGCCCGGCGGGTCCCCGTCCCCAGGAGCCGGTGGGGGACAGAATCGGGTCCCGGCAGCACCTGAGCCACAACAGGAATGCCTCTGGCTGACACCTGCTGAGGGCACCTCAGCCCTGCTTTCACATGATGAAATCGAAGCCCAGAGAGGTACAGCGACTTGCCCGGAGTCACAGAGCTTAGTGGAAAGCAGGGCTGCTGTTCTAACCTATGAAGGCCTCCAGCCCCTCTGTCCTCAGTCCTGTCTCTGTCATACACTGTCCCTGTCTGCTCTCCTCCAAGCCTCAACATTGCCCTCTGCAGAATGGGCTGCATCTCTCCAAGGGCCCCCCCACAATGGGGCTGTGTGCTCAGAGCCCGCTGCCCTCACGCCCTTGCCCTGGAAGGCGTCTGTGCAGGGTGGGGAGGGGGCTGCCCCTGTGGGCAAGACCTCCGGCTCAGCCTGTCCCCCTCCCCAGGTGGTGGTCTCGTCCTCTCTGCAGCTGGGGAAGGGCAGGCTGGCCGCCCGCCTGGCCCTGGCTCACCCCTTCAACCTCTCCTGGTGGCACATGGAGGCCAGCGGCCTGGCTGAGGGCAGGGGTGGCCAGCAGAGCGGGCAGGTGAGTGGGGAGCATCTGAGGTGCCCACGGTGGGGGCGTCTGGAGGTTGGGGAGCTGCATGGCTGAGCCCACAGCCCACGACCTGGGTACTGCGTGCAGGGGAAGAAGGTTCTGCTTGTCTCCCGTTGGGAAGGACTCTGTTAGAGTCACAGATTCCTGAAGTTTGCACCCTGAAGGGTCCTTCATTCGTTCATTCCTTCATCGATACCTTATTAAGCACCTACTGCACGTCAGGCCATGTTCGAAGCACACAGGCCTGCATCTAAAGAGCTCGCACTTTGGCAGGGCGAGAGCTTACGCGCATGTCCGACTCCTCATTTATACACTGGTCCGCTGAGTCGGGAGCTGCAGAGGGTCCACACAGGGCAGCTGGGCTCCTCAACTAGCCGGGTGGCCTCGGGTCGCTCCTGGACCCTCCCTGAGCCTCAGTGTTCTCAGCTGTGAAATGGAAGCCAGAAGGCCAGTGTGTGTCAAGAGTAGACCGTCTGTGCCAGGCCAAACAGAGAGCCTGGCTAAAATTCAAGCCAACGAATGAAGAACAAATGGAGAGTTGTGATAAACCCCGTGAAGAAAGCGGAGAGGAGGCGGAGACAGAGGCTAATCAGATGCGGTGGCCAGGGAGGGCCTCCTGGGGGAAGCGGCTTGTCCCCTGAGGACCTCCGGATGAGAGGGAGCCAGCTCGTGACAAGCTGGAGGAATAGCATTCTGGGGTGGGGGTGGGAGGGCAGGAAGATCGCGTGCAAAGACCCTGAGGTAGGAAAAGGCTGGCGAGCTTCAGGAAGAGCCAGAGGCGGTTAGGCTGGAACAGAGTAAGTGGTGGGGCAGGCACTGGGGAGAGATCAGCTGAGGGCCCCTGCCTTCGTCGGCTCGGGCTGCCATCACAGAACACTGCGGCTGTGTGGCTAGGTGCCCTTTGCTTAAAACAGGAACACGTATTCCTCCTCTTTCTAGAGGCTAGAAGTCCGAGATGAAGGCGCCGGCCTGTCCGGTTCTGGTGAGCGCTCTCTTGCTGGCTCGCAGTCTCCTGCGTCCTCACCTGCCCGGGAGAGAGCTCTCTGGGGTCTCTTCTCATAGGGGCGCTAATCACATCTTGAGGCCCACCCCATGACCTCATCAACACCTAGTCCCTTCCCGTCAGCCCTGCCTCCTAATACCATCCCTGGGGATGAGGGCTTCCACAGCACAACAGGGGCATGGGGCTCACGGTTCAGTCCCCAGCAGCCCCAGAGGCCCTGAGTGAGCAGCACGGATTTCCTTCTGGCTTTGGAGACAGCAAGGCTTGGGTATTGGGAATGAGGCGTCTTCCATCTAAATACTTCCGGTCTCCCGGGCTGGGCATGGCTCTGAGCACCTGCAGATGCGGGCAGGAGGGAGGACAGGGTCTCCAGCTCCCCTCCTTCGTCCCCTGCAGTGGGGGGCTCCACCCTCCCCACTCTACCTTTCCCACTCCTCCCACTCCCTTCTCCATCCCCTGCACGCACACAGATGGAGAGCATCAGCCTCTCCTCTGGCCCTCCCCTCCACCACCCTCCATCTCCTTGCAGGTCCAGTTGGCCTGGGACAGAGGGCAACCCGTGACCTTGCACCTCACCTGGACCAACAGGTCCTCGGAGTTCAATACCATCTGGGATGGCTGCCTGGCTGCCTCCCCGGGGCAGGTATGCGCTGGCGGGACTGCCAAGCCAAGCACGGGGCTCTCCCTAACTCTGGGCCCTTGTGCTGGCTCCCAGTCCCATATTCCATCTTCTTGTCAGCTCCAGGAAATTTGGGGCCTGAGTGCCCTCCGGGCCTGTGGGGCCGTAACACAGACCCTGGCCATGTTCAGCGAGCAGCTCGATCTGTCCTGGGACCGGCGCCGGGTGCAGCAGAACCTGACATATGAGGTGAGGCCTAGAAAGCCGGGTCCCAGGCAGGTCACCCGCAGGGGGGCCACACCTGCTGTACAAAGTGCCTGGCTCTGAGGCCATGGGATCTTGTGCCAACGCTAGCTGTGCTGGAGGATGGTGAGAAACTCATTTCTCCACTGTGAGCCTTGGTGTTCTCATCTGTAAAATGGGTTCCCTGACTGGGGTATAGTGACAGCTCTGGGGGGATGAGGGAAGCAAGGCGCCCAGCATGAGGTGAGCACTCGGAGCCAGACGAGGGAAGAAGCTGGTGACACCAGAGGGCTTTTGGGGGCAGGGGGAGATCAGGTTCCTGGAGGCGTCAGTTTGGAGTCTTCCTGGCATCACTGCCCACCCGGGGCTGCGGCTGGGGCTGAGCACTGTTCTGCAGAGCCTGGGACAGGGACCGGACCACAGAGAAATGGGGAGAAATGGCCATGAAAGCCAACCTTGTTCCTCCTGGGGTCTCGCACCCTGGGCTCTGGGACCCTTTAAACTCAGGCCCCCGGTGCTCCCCACAAACATCCGCCCAGCGTATAAATCACTGTTGTGGCCGACTGGAGCTCTCATGATGGGACTTCCAGCACCTGACCCTCTCTCGTGAGGTCTCCCATCTGCAGCTGGCCTTGGCCCCTCTCCCCTCTCATGGGATGAGCCCCTGCCTCACGGTGCCCTCTCCTGCCAGAGGCATTGGCCATCGCAGGCGGACAGGATCCACGCCGAGGCCATGCTGCAGCACATCTTCACTGGCTCCTGCACCACGCAGAGCTTCCAGGGGGAGGTGGGGACCGACTATACCCACCGGCTGCACCATTCCCTGCACCTGGGGCTCTGTGACCTGCCCAGGGTGAGTCTGTCCCGGGGAGGGGGCCCAGGCACCCATGGAGGGAGGGTGAGGAGAGAGGACAGCATCCACAGAGCGCAGGGGTGTGAGCAAGGGAGCTGGGTGCCCACATCACCGCTCTGCCATCTGCCGGCGGGGTGATCCCAGGCAGGGCGGGTCGACCCTCTCAAAGTCCAGGGTTCCATCTGAGGAACAGAAGAGGCAATAGGCTTCAGCAATGTAGGGTGACTGTGAGATATGAGATGTGACACAGGAAGAGAGCTTTACACGTAAATGAAAGGTGCTCAGCTGCATCGTTGTTGGAGGTGAGGTATTGGGACCCCTTTCCCAAAACATTCTTCCTGGTTTGTTAGCTGGTTGATTGGTTCTTCCTCCTACCTACCAACCCTCCCATCCATCCACCCACCTGCTCCCCACCCTTCTGTCCATCCATCTGTCCATCCATCCACCCATACACCCACCCAGCCACCTACTCACCCACCTTCCCATCCATCCACCCACCTGCTCCCCACCCTTCTGTCCATCCATCTGTCCATCCATCCACCCATACACCCACCCAGCCACCTACTCACCCACCTTCCCATCCATCCACTCACCCACCCACCTACTCACCCACTTTCCCATCTATCCACCCATGTACTCCCCACCCTCCTGTCCATCCATCCCCCCATCCATCCATCCATAAACCCACCCATCCACCTACTCACCCACCCTCCCATCCATTCACCCACCCATCCACCTACTCACCCACTTTCCCATCCATCCAGCCACCTACTCACCCACCCTCCCATCCATCCATCCATCCATCCACCCACCCACCTACTCCCCACCCTCCTGTCAGTCCATCTGTCCATCTTCCCAGCCACCCACCTACTCACCTACCCATCTACCTACTCACCCACCCTCCTATCCATCCATCCATTTCCCCAACTATCCATCTATTCCAGGGTCAGAGATTTTCTGTAAAGGGTCAGATAGCAAATATTTTAGCTTTTCTTTTTTTTTTTTTAAGACTTTATTTATTTATTTGACACACAGAGAGTGCACACAAGCTGGGGGAGTGGCAGGCAGAGGGAGAGGGAGAAGCAGGCTTCCCGCGGAGCAGGGAGCCCGATGCGGGGCTCGATCCCATGCCCCGGGGATCATGACCTGAGCCAAAGGCAGACGCTTAACGACTGAGCCACCCAGGTGCCCCATATTTTAGCTGTTCAAGCCATATGATCTCTGTTACCATCACTCCACTCTGCTGTCATAGGTTATATGTAAACTCATGGGTGTGGCCATCTTCTGATGCATATTTATTAACAAGAACAAGCAGTGAGCCAAATTTGGCTCTTGAGCCAGGTTGCCAACCCCATTCATCCATTCGTTCAGAAAGCATTTGTGGGTTTTACTTAATGCAGGGCCCTCTCCTAGGTGCAGGGACAAGGAAGGTGAAGGGGACAGACTGGGTGCCCCACCCCTTGGAGCTCACTTTCCAGTGGGTGGAAAAAGTTAAACAAGATGCATGATACGCCTGGGTGGCTCAGTCGTTAAGCGTCTGCCTTCGGCTCAGGTCATGATCCCAGGGTCCTGGGATTGAACCCCGCATCAGGTTCCTGGCTCAGTGAGGAGCCTGCTTCTCCCCCTCCCTCTGCCTCTCTCCCTGCTCATGCTTTCTCTATCTCTATCTCTGTCTCAAATGAATAAATAAAATCTTAAAAAAAAAAAAAGATGCATCATATGTACTGAGGCATGATGAATGCCGTGAAGGAATGACGCAGGGAGAGGGGACGGGGGATTGCAGGGAGCCCCACTGACAAATGCGAGCTCTGCACAGGGAACAGCCAGTGCAAAGGCCCTGTGGCGGAGCATGCTGAGGGTATTGGAGGAACAGAGGGCAGCCTTTAGAGAGCAAGGAGGTGAGGTTAAGAAGATAATGCTGACTTGTGGGCCATGTCAGGCAACCAGCTTTTCTTAGTACAACGGGGAGGCGGAGAGTTTTGAGCAAGGGGATCATGTCCGATTTGCATTTTTCACTGTCTGTCTGGCTCCCGAGTGGAGGAGGGACCATGGGCTGAACTAGAAGGGAGACCCAACAGGCTCTTGCAACAGCCCCAGGGGTCTGGACCAGGCCCGGGCATGGTGGGGAGAGGAAGTTGCAGCCCCTGTGCCTCCCTGACCGCTGACACCCACCCTCTCGTTCCAGGCTCTCTCAGTCTCTGGGGAGCACACCCTGGGCCACAATGGGCTCCTGCTGGATTCCCGCTGCCAGATGGGCCTCGCCCCGGACCCAGACCATGGCCTGCACCTCAGCCTGACCCTCCGCAACCACAGCAAGCCTCGGGCACCAGACTTCTCCGGGGAGCTGGAGGTGGGTGGCCAGGTCGGGGCTGCCTGCACCTCCCCCCACCCCCAGGAGGATGCCCTTCCTCCAGCTCTGGCCTGCGAGGCCACCACTGCCTGGATGGCCCTGCCACCTGGTGGTCACTGTCAGAACCGCAGGCTGGCACGCTGCCTGGCTTCCTCCCCTGCAAAGCGGGGAGTAATCGCTGCACCTACCCTAGCTCCCGTGGGATTCATGCCGCGAGGATTAAATATGTTACTACGTGCAGATCACTTAGAGCAGTGCCTGCGACAAGGCAGCCACTCAGTAGTACCGATTCTCCCAGCAGCCCAGGAAGGTAGGAGGGCGCAGAGCTGGGCTCGATGCCTTCTCTGTCCCCACCGGCCGAGTGATCTTGGGAAGGGCCCTCGCTGAGCCCTGCCTCCTCATCTGTAAGTGGGGAGTGGACATATTTCACAAGGCAGCGGGTAGGGTTCCGGGCACCCCCTCCCTCTGCCCCCTTTAAAATAGGCACACAGGGGGCGCCTGGGTGGCTCAGTCGTTAAGCGTCTGCCTTCGGCTCAGGTCATGATCCCAGGGTCCTGGGATCGAGCCCCGCATCGGGCTCCCTGCTCCGCGGGAAGCCTGCTTCTCCCTCTCCCACTCCCCCTGCTTGTGTTCCCTCTCTCACTGTGTCTCTCTCTGTCAAATAAATAAATAAATAAAATCTTTAAAAATAAAAAAATAATAAAATAGGCACACAGTAGGTGCCCCATCACTGTTACCATCTGCCCACCTCCACGTCCCCCTGGCCAAGTGCCCCTGACTTCGTGACTTTCCTTCTTCTGACCTCAGTTGTCTCCTCTGTCCAATGGGAACAAATCCCACCTCATTTGCAGAGCTGTTTGCACATAGTAGGTGCTCGTGAGGTTTCCTTCCAGCATCCGGAGCTGGATGGGGATGGCTCTTCTGCCTCTGGAGGTCGCTCGGCCTGTTTCCCTGCATGATGGCATGGTGGTATCAAAAGAGCTTTGCTCTCCAAGGCTGTCCGGGGCTGACCGCTTCGTTTCCCCACCTGCCAGCCAGGCCCCCAGCTGCTCCCGCGTCTGTAATCCCAGTGCCCCAAGGCCTGCCGGCCTGGGAGTGGGCCCTCTGCCCCATGTGGGGGTCCATGCGGTGGAGAGAGGTCTTTCCCAGCCTTGTTTGGTCCTCATGACACTGTGAAATTTCAGAAGGCTCTCTGGGCTGCACCCCACCCACTTGGAAACCTTGAGGATGGATTTTCTGGAACATGTGTAGTGAGCCCCCTGAATTAGATTCCTAGGGCTGCCGAACGGAGGACCCCCAGCGCGGTGCTGGAACATAACAGGATTTTTTTCCTTTCACAGTGCTAGAGGCTAGAAGTCTGAAATCAGGGTGTCAGCAAGTCCGCACGCCCAGCAGAAGCTCTAGGGCACTGTCCCCCCGTGCCTCTTCCTGCTTCTGGGGGTCACCGGCAGGCCTGGGCGCTCCTTGGCTTATGGCCGTGTCATTCCAACCTCTGTGTCTTCACACGGCTGTCTCCCAAGGCTATGGGTCGTTGCATTTAGGGCCCACCTGAATCCAGGACAACCACATCTGCAGAGACCCTATTTCCGAATAATCAGAACTAGGGTTCGAACTTCCACGCGCCTTTTTGAGGAACACATTCACCCCGTAAGGCGCCCTCCTGTAACACACACACACACACACACACAGTAATTCCGATTCCTGCTGAAGTTCGAAGGCCACCGTCCTGTGTCATTTGACAGAACTGGAAACCGAGGCACAGACAGGGCAACGCACTTATTCAGGGTGGTACGGCTCATTGGTAGCAGCATCTGGACTCGAACATGGGGCAGCTGAGTCACGACCAGAGGTGGCTCCCCTCCCCCCAACAGGCCTCCCCTTGCAGGGTGTCCTCCAGGGTTCCTTCTGTGACCTCCAGCCCCATTGTCCATTCAGAGCTCACCTGTCCCGAGTCCCCCTCCTGCAAGGCTGGGCGTCTGCAAGGGTCGCGACAAAGTGCTCAGGGACTGTGTTTGTGCCCCGTGCTCCCCACAACAGCTCCTTGAACGTGCTGAGGCATTTGCCGTGTTTCTCCTGAAATTACAGAAAGCACGGCAGGTAGAAACAGCTGGGCACCAGGGACGGCAAAAATGTCAAGGCCCAGGGCCACCCGGATCAGTTAAGACAGCGGCGCTGGGGTGAGGCCTGGCGTCGGCGATGTTTAAGCCATGGGGATGGCGGGTGCCCCTGGCTTATCAGGCCCCCAGATGTGGATTTAATAGGTACTTTCTGCAGTTGGCAGGGATAGTGAACCTTGTGGGGTTGTACGTGGGGGTCCCAGTGCCCCGAGAGATGTGGGGCAGGGGGTGGGCGCTGCCTTTTCTCTCCTTGGGCCCGGGGCTAGCAAGAGCGGGGGGACCAGGCCCCACTCTGCTCTCTGCTCTCCTGTTTGCAGATCCTCAGCGCCAAGGCTCAGCAGCTCGGCCTGCGGGGCCGGGTCTTCACCTCGGCTTCTCGGGCCAGCATCCAGCTAGAGGGAATTGTGGACAATGGGGACGAGAAAGTGAGGCTGTCGGTGTCCCGGGCCCCGAGCTGCCTCCAGGCCGCTGTGACCCATGAGGAAGGTGAGTAGAGACAGCGAGGACTGCTCAGATGGCTGGGGCGGGGCCCACCTGGGCCCCAGAGAGGACAGAGATCGGGGTGTTGAGAGTTGAGTCAGGGAACCCGGTTAGGACTTCGTGGCGCCCTCAGCTCGGAGGAGACAGTGAGCCCCCTGCAGCCACCTGTATGGACTGTGATGTCAGGAGAGGTTGGGAGAAGGGTCCAGGTGGGCAGACGGGAGGTGGGTATGGGCTGGGGGATGAGAAGGAGCCCAGGCCTCAGGGGGTCGGGAAGCTGACTTGGGTGGTACGCTTCCAGGCCTGCAAACGCTAGGGCCTGGGGCTAACAGGAAGCTCTCCGTGGAGAGGAGGAGGTGTGGACAGCCGGGTGGCAGCCAGGCAAGTCCCGGGGGCAACAGCAGGACCCTTCCTGGCCCCAGGGAGCCGAGAGGAGAGCGTGGTGCTGCGGGCATGTGCCCACAGGCGAACGGCTGAGGTGGAGGCCCTGCTCCAGGACGGCGGGCAGCCTGTGCAGCCCCTGGGACGCCTGAGCCTGCAGGCTGCCAACCAGAGTCTTCGCCTGGAGGCACACGGCTGCCCGGGAACCCTGCTGGGCAGCGTGGAGGTGAGGCGGCCCCGGGGGTGGGGGATGCTGTTTTCCCTGGGGCCCAGACCACGGTGCTGGGCTGCGAGCCTTTTGGGTCCAACAAGGCCCAGAAAACCAGAGGCAGCCCCGTAGCATGCAAACATATCCTGGGGCCCTATGGCCGGCACCGAGAACCTCCTGTCCACCCCAGTCCCAGGAAGCACCCCCCTCCCCGGAGTCCCCAGCCTGTCCCTCTGTGCCCACAGTCCAGGATGGCAGCCATCGGGGCCCAGGTGGAAGCCCAGCTAGAGAAGAAGATCCGAGGCTTGGATGCCTACGTGGAAAGGTTCCGGCGCCTGGTGGGTAGACTGCACCAGGGGGTCGGGGACACACTTCGAGAAGGGGAGGTGCTGTGTGGAGATGCCCCCCCCTTCCCCCGGCCCATCCTGTGCCCTCCACTCACCAGGCATGAGGATCTTCTGGAGTGCCGGGTGCCCCAGACCCTCACACCGATCTTGCCTCGATTTCCCTGCCCAGGTGCGGCCGGCGGGCACCCTGGACAGCATGGTGGGCCCCCTCCTGCAGTTGTCCCACGGGGGACTGGGAGCCGTGGTGGCGAGTGGCCGGGCGGTGGCCGCGCCATGGGGCCAGGCCAGGCAGGCGCTGATACACCACTTGCCCCCCTACCTGGAGAGACTACGGGCGGGGCTGGAGCAGCTGCGGAACGAGCTGGAACGTGAGTGCACGAGTGAGGGCCCGACCCCAGAGCCCTCCCGGCCTGTGGGGCCTTATGGGCCTGCAGCCTTCGTGTTTACTCTGCTGCCTCCATCCCTGCAGCTCTCCAAGCTAACATCCCTCATGCCTGCTGCCTTGGTTCTTTGCGGACTGCTGGTCTATTTTTTTTTTTTTCCAGTCCCTGCCTGATTTCTTTTGGGCCTACAGCTTTATTTCTATTAGTGCTGGAAGATCCCAGAGCCTATTTCTGGTTCTGTGATCAGCACCAGCGTGGCTGTGTGGTTCAGGCTTCTGTCCTGGTTACTAAGTCGCCGCTGCCCCAAGCGTCCTCCGAGTGATGCTGGGAACTTCAGGCCTCTCCACACGAGCACCAGGGCCGATAGCTGGCCCTTCTCTCCCACCCTGCTTCTGTCTCTGGGTCAGAATCCCCACGGCCACCCCCAGCTTCCGTGGCTCGCTAGGGCTCAGTTCTCGGAATATTTTCCTGCTCACAGCTAGGATTTGTTACAGCGAAAGCACACAGAGCAAGATCAGCAAAGGGAAGCGGCACGGGGGCCCAGGCCCGAGTGAGGGAGGGAAACCAGGCACAAGCTTCCAGAATCTTCTCCCAGGGAGGTCACCCAGGACGCCTTCAATTCCCCCAGCGTCACATGGTGACCACCACTGGTCTGCCAGGAAAGCTCGTTAGAGGTCCTGCTCCGAGGGTTTTCTTAGGGGGCTGGTCCTGGAGGAAGCCTCCCCTGGCACACACCACCATTCCGGACTCACAGGAGGAAAGCGGGTGTTGGGCACAAGCCATTTGTCCCTGCAAATGGTTTGGGCAGAGCGAGGCCCTCTTTTCGGTTCTGGGAGTGGTGGCAACCCTCCTCCCATCCGGGCTCCCACATGCCAGCCCAGGGCCGACCTTGGGAACAGGCCTTGCAGAGGGGAAGTCTCGGGCCTGCCGGGCTGGCTCTTTCCCTGCAGTCCCTCGTGCCGCCACCTTATTCCCTGGAACAGGCCCTGTTTCCTGGAGGCCTGGGTCATCAAGGGGGCCGGTCCCCCTGCCGGGGTCTGGGCTGCAGGCAGTGGCATCTGGCCTGAGGTCAGGACTCCGGGTGGGGGATGGGGAGGGGGCTCACGGTGGGTGGCGGCCACCTGTTGCAGGGCCCCTGGCCACACTGAAGGACGCCTACCTGGAGGTGACCCCACAGCCCCTGGACGAGGTGTGGCGGGAGCGGGCTGAGGAGGCCGTGCGGCTGTGGCGGGCCCTGGGGCCCAGGCCCATCGGGGCAGCCATGGAGCTGGTGAGGTGGGGCGAGGGGGTGGGACGCGGGCCTGCCAGGTGGGGTGAACCCTGATGGCTCTCCCCGCCCGCCCCCTGCAGGCCGCCCGCCAGATGCTGTCTTGGGCCGAATCCACTTTGTCCCAGGCCCTGCGGAGGCTCTGCAAGCCCTTGCTGGCCCTGTACAGCTTCTCAGCCAGGTACCTTGGGGACCAGGGACCGTCCTTCTCTGCCTCCCTGCCCCAGGCCAGGCCCCAGGCTACAGCACCCTTGGTCTCGTGTATTCCTTAGGACGACCCTGCCAGGGGGGCATTTTCAGTCCTCATCTGTTAAGTTGAGGCTTATTCTTCATTCCACGGGTATTGGATGAACAGGTTCTCCGGGTGAGAGCTGTTTTAGGTTCTATGGATACAGCAGTGAATGAGACCCATCCCCATCCTCACACTGAACAAAGAGCTAGGTTATCTACACCGTACTCGGCCACACTTTCCTCCAGAGGGGCCTCAGGGTAAAAGTTTTCAGGCTTTGTAGGCTCAGTGGTCTTTCCCTTCATCTTCCCTTTGTTTTTCAATAATCCTTTAAAAACAGAAGAGCCCCTCTTACCTTGCAGGTCCTCCAGAAACTGGACACGGGCTGGATCTCGCCCATGAGACAATTTCCTAGCCTGTGCTTTGGTATATTGGGTGGTAAATGCTGGAGAAGAACAGGCAGGACAAGTGGGGTGGGGGGCACCCTTGGCATGCTGAAGCCATGGTCTGCTTCTTTGAGAAGGTGGCATTTGCACAAGGGCTGGAAGGAGCTGGGGGAGGGGGCCCTGTGGGCATCATGGGAAGAGTTTCAGGCAGAGGCCACAGCCAGTGCAAAGACCCAAGGGTGGGAGTGTGCCTGGCCTGCTGGAGGAGTATGGAGGAAACCAGTGGGGCTGGAGTGGAGGCTACAAGAGCCTGAGGGTTGAGGGGCATCCAGGTGGCCTGGAGCCTTTGTGAGGACATTGATTTCTACTCTGTGATGGGAACCCACAAAAGGTTTCGAGCTGAGAAAAGACATGATGTATATCCCATTTAAAAAGATCCCTCTGGGGGCACCTGGGTGGCTCAGCCATTTAGCGTCTGCCTTCGGCTCAGGTCAGGATCCCAGGGTCTTGGGATCGAGCCCCGCTTCGGGCTCCCTGCTCCGTGGGAAGCCTGCTGCTCCCTCTCCCACTCCCCCTGCTTGTGTTCCCTCTCTCGCTGTCTCTGTCAAAAAATAAAATAAAAAGATCCCTCTGGCCCTGGTGGTGAGACTTGGCTGGGGGCAGGGGCGTGGTGTGGATGGCAGTGCGGAGCACAGTAAGGAGTGGCCCTCGGTTGTGGGTGTCTGGGCGAGACTCGGGAGCCGTGGAAGGGCCGCGAGGTGTTTAGATTCTGGACGTGTTGTAAGGTCAAGCCTGGAGATTTGCTGACAGATTGGCTTAGATGTTGGAACAGGTGGCACCGAGGTTTTTGGCCTTGCAAAGGGCAGGAGGGACGGTCTGGTCCATTGGTGGAGCAATGAGGGATGACTGGTGGCAGGCAGATGGGGGCTTTATCAGTTTCCTCTTGCTGCCATAGCCCCTTGACCCACACATTTAGTGACTTCAAACAACACAGATTTATTCTCGTGTCGTTCTGGAGGTCCGAAGTCTGGGAAATCTGTTTCAGTGGGCTACAGCCAACGTGTCAGCCGGGCTGGCTCCCAGGGAGGCTCCAGGGGAGAACCCACCCCCTTTACCTTTTCCAGCCTCTAGGAGCACCAGCGCTCCTTGGCTCAGAGACCCTTCCTCCGCCTTCAAAGCTGAAAGCCACAGCATCACTTTCTCTCCAGACTCTGTCCTTCTATCTTGTCTCTCTGACCCTCCTCCCACCCTTTTTCTGACGACATGAGCTCACCCGGATAATCCATCCCAGAATCCTTCACTTAGGCACACCCGCAAAGTGCTTTTGGCCACATCAGTTCCTGTAGTCCTAGGGCCCAGGCACTTGGAGGTCTTCGGGGGGCCTTTATTCAGTGTGTGTGGCAGGAGCGGGGATGGTCAGGCGCCATTCTGGACGCGTTGAACTTGAGAAGCCATGAGGACACGCAGTTGGAAACGGCCAGTAGGAACTGCTATTTTGAGGTCTGGGCTGTACAACAGTCTGGGAGTTGTCAGAGAGGGGACTGGACCGGATGGGGCAGCAGAACCAGCCTCAGAGACAGGCCTGGGCTCTGGGGTGTGTGCGCCCCTCCCCCTCCCAGGCTGGGGCCCCATCAGCAGTGGGGGGGGGGGGCTCGGAATGGCAGCGGCCCCAGCCAAGCGACCTCACAGCGCGTGGGGACCGGGGGAATGCTTGGGCTTGAATCCCGCTCTGACTTGGGCAACCTTGGATCAGTGCTCGGTGCCTCGGGTGGTGCTCAGGCCACCAGGGCTCTCGATGCTGTCACAACGTGGGCTGGCCGAGGGAAGCTGCCAAGGGGGCATGGTGTCAGCTGGTGTGCAGAAGAATGTACTAGTCGGGGCTGTTTGCAAAGGTAGGGGCTGACTGGTGCGGTTAGGGGGCTCCTGCCCGGGGGAGGTCCTGGCAAGGGGTCAGCACTGGGTGCTTGTGCTGAGGAAGGGGTGTGGGGGGCAGGGAGGCCTCTGAGACCACTTCCAGCCCCACCGCTGCAGGTCCTCCGGGCCTCCTGGGGGAGGTAAATGTCCTCCCCCACCCCCGGCACCTACCTCCACCTGCAGTCGAGGGCATGAACTATTCCTCATCTACCTCCAAGCCCAACGTGTGCTGAGACCTCTCTGCTCCTTCAGACCCCACAAAGTCGACTTGACCCCTGTTTTCCGCCCTGAGAAAGTTTCAGGGTGCTCCCTTGATGGTCGAACTCCCAAGGTCCCCTTTGGCTCCGACCTCCCCTTTCTCCGATGCTTTTGCTGCCCTTGTCCACCCCACCTCCAGGAGCCCTAGATGTGGGCCGGCCCATTCTCGGGGTTCACATAGACCTGACCCAAGGCCCTGGGGGGCAGCATGTACGTCCCCCCCCCTCCGGCAGGAGCCCAGACATCTGTGTCCTTCCAGTGAGGCCGCTATGTCTGCCCCGAGCCTGGACCCTCCTCCACCTCCTCTGTGCTCCTTCCAGGAACTGTTCGGTGCGGGTGACTTTGCCGCTGCTGCCAGCGGGGAACGAGCCCCTGGCTGTGGCCCGGGTGACCGGCTACGTGGTGGAGAAGCTGCTGCGGCCGCTCAGCGAGCTGTCCAGGACCAATGTGTGGGCCGAGTATTACCGGCTCCAGCGTCGCCTGCTGGAGAGCCCCCACGACTGTGAGTCTCGGGCCACCCTCCTCCCCGGGAAGCCCTGAACCCTGTGGGATGGGGCAGCAGGACGTGGCAGGAGCAGACAGGGGCCTGGTCCTGGGTGGCCCCCGGGACCTGAGCCCAGTACCACAGGGCCCAGAGGTTACTGGACTGTCCCAGGTCATAGTGGACGAGGACTGGGCTGCAGATCCGGGCTTTCGTCCAGCATAGGAAAGCCTGAGTCTGGGGCCCAACCCAGAAGTGGGCCAAGCTGCTTGGGGCTCGAGGCCAGCTCCCTCCCCCTTGTTGGTGCTGGAGACGCAAAAGGCAGACCTCCAGCTGGAGCCGGAAGGCGGCTAATGGAGTCCAGACTCGTGGTGAGGCAGGGCCGGCCACCACAGGCTGTGCCAAGACCAGATGTGGCTCCAGGGGCTTGGGGCCCCGTGGGAGTTTGCATCCAGCTCGTGCCTGAGTGTGGCCCGGGCGAGTCTTCCCACCTCTCTGGGACTTGGTTTCCCCTCTGTGCACTGGAGGTGGCACCATGGCTCACTCCTCTGGGTGACAGGCACGTGTGGTTTGTGAGCCGAATTCCTTGGTGCTGGGGTGGGCCTCAAGTCCACAGGCAGGTGTGGCACTCAGGGCCTGGTAGGACTGGTGTATCAGTGTGGTTCGTACCGACCACGTGGGAATGCTGAGGTTCGGGGCAAGCGGTCGCCCTCCTAGGGTCAGGGGTACTTTCTCTGCTAGGCAGCACGGTGAGGTTGAAGTTGGCCTTGGAGTTCCGTACTTATGTGACCTTGGGCTGGCCTGTGACCTTGAGCTCTGATGGCTGATGAAGGGGCATGCAGGACCCTCCTCATGAGGCTGGCTGGGCCAGCAGCCCCCTGGCCTGGGTATGTGTCCCCTAGTGCCCCCCCACTTCTAGCCCAAGTTGCTGCTCAGCAGCCGAACTGGCCCGGTGGGGCACGCTGTCCCTGTCTCGATCTTCTGCCCACCTGGAGGAGGGCAGAGCCAGGCCCCCATGGTACCTTCCTTGCGTTAGATGGAGCCTTTGGTCATACTTTTGTGTGTTTTTTATAGTGATTATTTTTCAATAGCTTCATTGACCCACAATTCGCATACCACACTGTTTAGTTCAAGCATATAATTCAGCGGCTTTGAATATATTCAGAGGTTCACATCCCCCACCGCCGTCAGTTGTAGAGCATTTTCATGACCTCACAAGCGTCCTCTGTCCCTTAGCTGTCACCCTCTGTCCTTGGCTCCCACCTGTCTACCTCCTGGCTCCATGGATTTGCCTACTCTGGACACTTCGTATGAAAGGAATCCTGTATCAGTCCTTTCTTTTTATTGTCGACTTGGCTGGAGATGGTGGAGAAGAGCTGGGGATAGACCCCCCCATGTAGGCTGCCCAAGGGGTCACAGGCCAGAAAGGCTCTGGATGCCCTGGAGTACCCCCTGCGCTCAGGGCCCCCAGGGCAGCGGGCGGAGCGGGCAGAGCCATCTTACCTGCCCTGGGCTTTCTTCTTCCCAGACCATGCTGTGGTGGCCGGGGCCAGGTATGTGGTGACCTTTGATGGCCAGGTGTGGAGGCTGGGTGTCCACTGTGGCCGTCTGCTGCTGGCCAAGGACTTTGCCCATGACACGTTCTCACTGACACTGAACCGGGACCACTCGGGGCTCCCGTCCCTGTCCGTGGAGCTGAACCATACCACCCTGGTGCTCTACCCGAGCCTGAAGGTGAGCATGCGAGAGTGGGAGGGGCAGGGGGCCCAGAAGGATGACACGTTCCTGTCACATCCACACGCCCATGTCCTGGGCCCCAGACCCTTCCCACCTGGTGCCCCACGTTGCCTGCCACCTGTCTGCTCAGCCCATGTCTGGCCCCCAGACATACAGGCTGTATGATTCCTCCTCGCCTACGGAGAGCTGTCTGCACATCGATCTGCCTCCTGCCAAGATGAGGAGGGATGTCCCCAGGATCGAGCTAACCAGTGAGGACGGCATCTCCGTCACCTGTGATGTCCGAGCTGGTCTCTGCAGCCTGACTCTGGGCCTCTGGCTCCATGGTGGGTCTGGGTCCCAGCTAGCAGCCTCCGAGCCGGTGGGGTCGGCCTTGCAGAGGCTGGCAGATCCCCAGCCAGGGGCACTCTTGGGGTCCTCGGGACGCTGGGGGCAGGATGCCCAGGGACTCCCTCAGGCTGCTTCTGATCTTTGGGGCTTACAAGCTGAGCAGGCAGGAGAACAGTCTGAAGGGCTCAGGATGGGAAGGAGGTCCAAGGCCATGTCTCCCTGCTGGGTCATGGCAGTGCTCGGACCGTCCCCACTGCAGGTGGACAGATCCTGCTCGGCTCGGTGCCCACTGGCCTTGTCTCTGCAGCTGTAATACCCCGGTCGCCGCCTCCTCCCCTTCTCCTCCCCATTGTTGGCTGTGGTTTGGATGACCTCACTGAAGCTCATGTACGGGCCACCATTCTCACAGCCCGGATTTAAGCCCGGGGCTCTCTGACCCCATATTCTACCTCCTTTCTGGGACATCGACTCCGGGTTCAGGGCAGCCCCAGAACAGCTCTCCCGTCGGCCCAGGCCACTTGGGATGAGGACGGTGGGCATGGGGAGGGTCCCAAAAGGGACACAAATGCTTTGCTCCCTTCTCCTCTCCCTCTGATGAAGGGCTAGAGCCCAGGAGGTGGTGTGGGCGTCGGGTGTGGAGGGTTCGGGCATTCCTGGAACGTGGGCCCAGACAGGCTCTCACCTGGCCCCCTTTCTGTACAGGGGTGTCTGCTGGCCTTCTGGGCACCAATGACAATGAGGCGGGCAATGAGCTGATGTTGCCGGATGGCACAGCGGCCCAGAGCCTGGAGGAGCTCGCCCTCGCCTGGCAGGTGAGCTGGTGTGCCAGCCCGCCTCCTTTGGGGGGTCGTGTGTCCCGGGGGCTGTGTGGGTAGAGATTGGCTTGGGGCATGTGTACTCTGCAGACAGCTTCTCTGTCCAAGCTGCCCAAGAAGGAGGAGGTCCAGGCGGCAGGCCTGAGTCTGGGCTTTGTCTCACTAGGTGGGTGGCGACTGCAGGGCCATGGAGAAAACTCAGGAGTGCCCAGGCTGGAGCCCCACCTGCTGGGCCTTCTTCCAGGACCCCCGTTCCTGCCTGGGGAACTGCTTCAGGGTGGTGAGTGTGAGGTTGGGTCTGGACCCCAGCAGAAGCCATGCAGCAGGTAGACCAGGGGACCCAAATTGACCCCTATCTTGCCTCTGCCCCTCCCCTGTGCTACTCGCAAGGCTATAACGCGCAAGGACCGTGACTGTGGGTGCTGGATTTCAGGTGGACCCCACGCCATTCCTCAGCCTGTGCATCCAGGACACCTGTGGCACCCAGGAGCTCCACCCTGCCTGTAACCTGGCGGCCGCCTACATCCACTTGTGTGCCCGGGGCTTCGTGCCCCTGGACCCTCCTCCGCAGTGCGGTAAGCCACCCCCGCCAGCCATCCAGCTCACCCCTACCTGGCTGACCCCTGCCTTCCCTACCAGAGGGAAAACTAGTTCCTTTCTCTTACTTAGTTCATTATATGACAACGGAGTGCCTGTCCACCTGGCAGGAGCTAAGAGTCAAAACAAAGTTCTGTGCAAAGGAGTACTTAGAAAAAAGAGGCCCAAAGCCTCCCCCTGCCCAAGCCAAGGCTGATGAGCCCTGGGACCTCTGACACAGGAGACAGTACCATAGACAATTATAAACTCACCTCCTGAAAATGTATAACCACAGATCTGCTCTTCAGGGGTTTGAATGTACACTCTCTCCAATGTCTGGAAAGCCCTGGGTCAACCACTGTTGTGCATGATTCCCACAGCTGAAGCTCCACTGCACAGGGCTGGAAGTCAGCGACTGCCCCAAACAACAGGAGAAGGACCTCTGTTAAAGGAAAGATTACTCATGATGCTTGGAAAAGACCAGGCAGGCAGGCTGTATTCAGGGGGACTATCACAGTGGTATAGGGACCACTGCAATGGGGTTTGGCCATACAGGGGAGAGAGATCAGGCTCTGATAACAACAGGGAAAAGTGGGGACTGACAGCCAAGGAGCAGGGTGGGGGAGCTCTGTGGATGGAAAATTACCAAGAGGAACCATCAGGGATGGTGAAGTTCTGGCTAACCCGACCTGCCAGGACTCTTGCTGGAGGCAGCCCAGACTGATCAGAGGAACCCTGGCTGATGGCAAGGTAACCTATTATTCTGGCTAAATTGACCTAGCGGAATTCTTGCTAGGCCTGGCCAAGGCAGAGACAGAAGCGCCCCCACCCCAATGTCAGGTCCTCACTGAGATTTCCACAGAACCTGAGTAGAATCTGGTCAAAGAAAGATACTAGAATTTGAAACTATTAAATACATATATTAACTGAAATTTAAAACTTACCAGATTTGGGGCGCCTGGGTGGCTCAGTGGGTTAAGCGTCTGACTCTTGATTTCAGCTCAGGTCATGATCTCAGGGTCACAGCATCAAGCCCAATGTCAGGCTCCACACTGAGCATGGAGCCCGCTTAACATTCTCTTTCCCCCCACATGTACTCTCTCTAAAGATAAATAAAATATTGAAAAAATTAATGAACTGGAAAATATGAGAGAGTCTCACAGAAATTTCAGAATGGGAAAATAAAGAGGTTGAGAACTGGAACTCCTCAGATTCCAGAAGCACAAGGTATCCCAGATACTGTCAATCAACCCCGATTAAGACACATCAGAGTGGCAAAGAAGTAATCTTTCAAGGAACAAGTAGACAACCAATCTCCCACCAGCAAGGACCGAAGATGGTAAAATATACACCTTTAAAGCATTAAGAGAACAACTGTCACGTTAGATTTTATACCCAGCTCAACTATGATTTAATGTTAAAGGTGAAACAGATTTTTAGCACTGCGCTATCTGAAACCATCTTTCCCACTGATGGAGACTCACTCAAGGAAGAGAGCCCCACACATTTATTCACATGCATCTGTGGCTGTTTTTGTGCTGCAACAGTAGAGTGTTGGCAACGACTGCCAAGTCTAATTCCCATTCATTATAGTAAGTGTTGGCTGATCCTCCGTGTGAACCAGAGGAAGCAGGAGGGAGAAATTAAAGAGTAATTAATGAAATAGGAAGAAATGAAAAATAGTCAAAACTACAGATCCAGTAGAGATTTTGAAAAGTCATTCAACACCTTTGCTGATAAATTTCAAGACGTAGGTTAAGTACAATCTGGCCAGATTGATTTGAGAAAGAATGTTTAAATCATTTCCTAGCCATTCAATCAACTGAACCTACAGGTTGAAATGTACCTCTGAAAGACATCAGGCAAAGCTGAGTGAAGTGAGTAGCACACCAAAAAATAGATTTCAAGATTAAAATTTTTTTGTTCTGTGAAAGACCTTCTTTAAGAGAACGGAAAGATAAATACTTACAAACCCACATATCTGACAAAGGACTCTTATCTAGAATAGGTAAACTCAAATTTTTTTTTTAAAGATTTTATTTATTTATTTATTTGGGAGAGAGAGAATGAGAGACAGCACAAGAGGGAAGAGGGTCAGAGGGAGAAGCAGACCCCCCCGCTGAGCAGGGAGCCCCATGCGGGACTCGATCCCGGGACTCCAGGATCATGACCTGAGCCGAAGGCAGTCGCCCAACCAACTGAGCCACCCAGGTGCCCTAGGTAAACTCAAATTT